GGGTTGTGGAGGCACTTACGAGGCGTACAATCTCGAGCTCGGGGTGCAGGTACTGAATCGCCTCCAGCAACTTGTCGGGTTCTTTCTGGGGGTTTAGGTAGTTGGCCGGCGTCGTGATCAGGTACGAGTTGCCTGCAGGGGTGATTCCATCGCCATTCAAGAAGGGTACACCCTTATGGAAGGTGGCATTTCCCATCCAATTCCTCCACTGTTTCCCCCTGGCCTCAATACAGACTTTGTAGGCGTGGTTGGTGTGACCCTGGGCAATGGCCTCGGCTTTGACAGGATCCAGCGCGGGAGAGAACTCGATGTCGGGAAGCACGTTGAGGGGAACAGCGACGACCACTGACAAGGCCTTGAAGGCGGTGCCATCGACAGTTGTCACCATCGTGGTATTGCCCTGCGTCACAACGGACGCTACGGCGGTGGAGAAGCTGTAGCTTAGATTTCCAGACACGCGAGCGTCGTTGAACATGGCCAGCGCCAGCGCCGTCTGTCCATCAGCCAGCTTCCAGCGAGCAGTATACTGGCCAAGGGAGGCGAGGGTGCCGCCACTGAGCGACATCCACCGCACGACCTCACCAAAGGATGGACGTGTGAGAGGTCCCTTGCTCATGGCGTTCAAGATGTGCGTGATCCCCTCGATCTCCTCCACGCTAAGGTCGCCCTTAAGCTGATCGAGGCGATCCTGGCAAGACATGGTGTCCCACTTTATGAAATTCTCGTGGTGGAGCCATTCGTCAGGTTGATGTAGGTCGAACACAGACCCGCCCACTTGACCGTCGATGTCGCAGAACTTTAAAAACCCCGTCGCTGAAGCCTGGTAATCTGTGAGTGTCATGCACCCGGTCCTTGTATCAAGATAAGCGTAATGCACGGACGCACCTGATCAGTCCATGGAATCTCGTGAAGAGTGTCGTCGCGGATGGCGGTCGGGATGCGAGACCCCTCGTAGAATTCTTGGCTATCCTTGAGACGGTTCTCAAACCCATAGCGCACGACCTCCGCCCAAACGAGAGCCTGGTTGCGATGAATCCACGTGCCTCCCAGTTCGTAGATATGGCCATCGGCCGTGGCCGAGCAGGTTCGGCCTCCGATTCGGTCCCTGCCTTCCAGAACCAGTACATTGTGTCCTAGATCGTTGGGAGATTCATATCAGCTCTCTACACGCGGAGCATGATTTGGGTACGGTGTGTTCGTCGACTACCACGAAGGAGCATACCTTGAGTCGCGAGATCTCTCAATGCGCGTAAGCCAGCATAGCCTGTGCCAATAACGATAGCATCGTACGTGGTTTCGGTGTCTGCGTTATGAACCTGGGGCTCGATGACGGCGTCCGTAGTGATGCCAGGTTTTAGACCCTCTTCAGGTGTCCATCGATAACCGTCAGTTGAGATAGGCATGATTATTGTTGGGCCGAAGGGATCATGGTGAAAGCAAAGGACACTCGTCGTTATATGCTTCAGCGATGCCGCATCGCCTCTTAACACATGGTCAAATGGCTTATCGTGCGGACAGTATTCCCAAGAATCTCTAACAGCTGACATACATGGACGACTGTCTCTCCCTCATCTGATACCAAAACTAACCATCTTTGGCCATGCCCGCTTGGAAAGAATGTGTTCACCCAGCGAGCCTGCTTCCCCCTCCGAAACTCCGGGACTTGTCAATACCTGCTCCGCGGAGTCCGAGGTGCCCGGCCCCGCAAGCCCTTCGCCTTGACTGAAAACGTCACGGAAAGGTCGCTAACGGATTCCCGATGTAGACGATTATTAATGACAAATGGGTCTAGCTATATGGAGCCCTGCAATCACGAGTCTGGACCGGGTACAGAACCACGGTTGCCACCTCTTCTATATACCTGAGAACTTAGCCATTCTTGTCCGTTCAAAACATCTCCATAACCTGATCCCGCGTCAGCGTTGTATTCCTGCTCTAAGTGACTTTTCTGTCTCGGGATTCAAGTCGACGGCATGTCGGTCGAATACAAGAGCCAATTTCTGAACCAGGTCGGCGTCCGGTGCTTCAATGTTCCTGGTGCGGGAGAGAGCCTCGCCGAACAGGGCCATCTGTCCAACGCCATCACCGTTCCTACCAACGCCGCCGTCGTCCATATCACCGGACAGGTTGGCAATCGCGAAAATGGCGAAGTACCCTCGGATTTTCGCGAGGAGTTCCTTCAAGTCTTTGTCAACGTCGAGACGGTGCTCAAAGCCGCGGGGGTCCATGAGGGTTGGGAGGCTGTGTACAAAGTCCATTTTCTGAACCTCGACAACTCTCCCGAGAGACTGCAAGAATACTTGGCCAACATCAAGAAGTTCTGCAAGGACAGCAGGCCAACTACCATGGCAATCGGCGCTTCCTCCATCGCCTGGACTGGTGCCACGATTGAGATCTTTGTCGAGGCTGTGAAGAAAGCATCATGATGCATGACGGCCATAGAAAGGAAATGGGGATCTGGGCCTGTGTTATAGTTGGATGTCGGAAAGAGAGAAATCTTGTCCCCTGCGTTTCTCGCAAGTGGAGGTGTGGTCTACCTCAAGTGTGGCTCCGTATGATGGCTCTAGACTATGACCCTAAGAGGATCTTTCACCGTCTCCCTTTGGTTGGGCAAAGGTTACATGCTTCGGCGAAAGCAGATGGTTTGCATCGTGTATATTCAACTGCGCAGTTTCTGAACAGCTTGAAATCGGTAGTTGGCATAACAAGACAAGGTTATGCGTTCTCGAAACCATTCTTCGTATCCGGTACGATGCCCTGCCAATAGTTTGAAACAGAACAAATTAGAACGGATATTAGTTTGTCCACAATGAAGTCTGATAGAGAGGATAATCCCGAAGGGCCGCTCACCTGGCGCAAACGCACCATGTCGGAATCCCCTGCCTGACAGCGCCCATGATGGGCGTTCTCTACGTCAGTGAGAGCACCGAGTCGCAATACGCCGCACTATGGACACGACACGCCCGATAGCATGTTCAATTATCTCAAGATAGAAGTAATGGACTTGTTAGGTGATGAGACTCCAAAGTCGGTTCCTTTCACGACGTCGACATTTCAGCGCTGCGGGGGGCCCGGATTATCGACGGACGTAGCTTGGGTGGACTTCACGTCGAAATATGGATACAAGTTGTCGTGCGTGAGGACGACTTGTCTATCGAAGGACTATACATGCTCCGGGCATAGGGGCAAGCGAGCTTGGCGCACTGCAGGTGTTGGGGCGGTGGAGTGCCACGCGTGTCCATTCGCATCTGTCGTACAGAAGGAAGGCATTAAAGAATAATAATAGATGAAAAGGTACCGTTTCCTTTGATACCCAGCCGTAGAAGTGTCTGTTGTGCTCGCCTAGAAAGTGCTATTGTCTGCGTCGGTCTCTATAGTGGGATGAGAAAGGGCTAGAGCCACATTCGGTCAGTCTCCACCATCTGCTGGTTTACCTGGAACCAGTAGAGCAACTCGGCGGTCGACAGGTCCACATCCAGTGGTTGCGCTGCGTCTGCAACTCCCAACAGAAGCGACGTATCATTGCCACTGTTACAACCGCCTGTCACTTCGCTCGGTAACTCAAACCCCATGGCTGTGAGACAGCTGCCGATCTCATCACTAACATGCAAGCCGCCATCACCGTGCGCCAGCGCAGACGTCGTCTTCAGTTGTGTGTAGCGGAGGGCGACATCGTGGAACACTTGAAAGAGACGTTGATGCTTGCGAGCTGCGTCAGAACCGGGACTGACCGACTCCATCGAAGCGATAAACCTGTGCATCCGTCCCAAGTCTTCTTGATTCCCGGTCTCCAAGACGTGACAGAACAACACGATAAAGGGTGTAAAGGGCCGTAACATGATGAACCTGTAGTACAGATGAGAGAAACCCGTGAGGACAAACCCTGCAGATCGTCCCGTAGAAGGAAATCGCACTCACCAGCTTATGTACGAAGAGAGGAAGGCTGACTGCACTCCAGCAAGCACGGCTGGGCATGACTGATGGCAGGCGAGAGCTTCCCGTGCCGAGGCAATGCATTCCGCGGTCAACGAAGTCGACGAGCTGACGGTACTGGGGGCCGACACGGTTCGATGTATCAGTGTCTGCATAGAATGCAGCAGGACATTGTCCGAGGCGTATAGGAAGTCGATCACCTGGCGCCAGTCATTGCTTGGGCCGGTGAGTCGCCATTCTTGCTGCAGGAGACCCAAACAATTAGACCAAACGAGGAAAAGACAGACACTGGAATGCGCGACCATGCACAGAAAACTCACAAGAGCTTTTTGAGATCTCTGCGAGATCTCATCTAGTTCTTGAGACAACTCTCGTACAGGGAGTGTTCCCTGTGCGCGATATGCAGCACGCGCCTGCACCCCATATAGCTTCTCGTATATCTTGCCAGACAGCTGCGCGAGCTTGACCATCGAGCGGGCGTAGTCAAAACCAGGACTTCCACCAGGCAGCATGACGGTGATCTCGCCGTCCGCAATCGTCGAGCATCGCCCCAGTCGAAGGGAGAGCGTCTTCTCCAGGAAGTAAATGACCCAAAACAACATCCCCGAGGGATTTGAGTTGTCGCACCATTCTGCTAGGCGTGGTCGCCCAAGGTGACAACCAAGAACGTAGGCAATGTTGTATGCCGCCGAAACGAGTGTCCACGCCCAAAATGGCCTGAGCAGGTCCACTGCATGTACAGCCTGGTCACGTAGCTTAGCGGCAGCAGCAGCAGCAGCAGCATTGAAATACGTACGCCTAGTATCAGCGCTAGCGTCATTTCAGTGCTTGGGGGGATATGAAGGGGTAAGGCCGAGAGGGCGGTTTCCAAATTCCCCAGGCATGTTGATTTGTACTCCGCGAAGGTCCTGGATGAGGGAGAATCTTCGTGGTCTACAAGTTGTTCATCAAAGAAATCTGCGTTGCAAGACGAGTTAGCTAGTCAGGAAAAGTGTCCCGTGGAAGTGCCGGGTCGGGGATCGTTGGGAGCGTACAACTGAGCGCGGCATTGAGAATGATATAGTCTGCGTCGGAGTAGTCACTCGAGAAGTATACGCGCAAGCAAATGTCAGAAAGCGAACAAGAATGCAGTAGATAGGTTACAAAGGTGAACGTGGCATGTTGGCAAGCTGTGTGGATGCATTTATCAGCATGCCTTGATCAGCCTGTGCATGTCCAACAGGTACCAGCCTACCTTGGGCATTTCGGATGGCGGCGACAGATGCTGCTATGGGAGGCATGCCTTCAGCATTCCGATGCGATGGCAGCCCGGCCGTGGCAGGACGGTCACCTGGTGGTGATTCATCCTGCATTCTGAGAGCCTGGACAATCTGATTGAGTGTGTTCAGGAGCTCTCCAGTGTCAAAGTCGAACCCTTTCCGTCGGTCCACACCAGCAACCATGTCCAGGAAGCCGATCGCCATCCTCGAATGGCCTATCAAAGAGGTGGGACCTTCCAGGGTAGCCTCAGCCTCTCCGATGAGTTCGGTGGCTGCGCTGGGCTGGTGGATAGGAGATGATGTGTTGACGATCTGACTCCGACTGCTCGCCAGTGCCGGTGCCTGCGTAGATGGCCGATCTACCATGTCAGCAGGCGAGCGGGCCACAAGCCCGAGAGATGTGCCATGATCGGACAGAGAGTGAGGCATCGCATCCAACGTCGCTCCACCATGGCCTGCATAGCGTGCACGCGACAGCTCTTCCTCCAGGCGACGTATTCTCATGACACTGCATATCAGAAGATAAGGCTTCAGCTAAGGACTGGACACAAGACTGGACACAACACAAGACTGTACTTACTACGCCGCACCTGTGGGATCAGGCTGCTGCCTCGGCCGCGGCACGCGCGGGGACTTTGTGCACTCGAGATTCCGCTGCTGGCAGTTGTAACATGGGACTTTCCGATCACAACGCACCTAAACAGAACACCGTTCCCACGTTAGCAAAGGCTGGCCTTAGCGAAAAGCCCACAGTCACTCGGCTGGCGTGGCGTCCGATTACCTTCTTGACCCGGCAGCTGTCGCACTGGTAGAGAGAGGGAAATTAGCGGAATGCGTCTGCGCCAGAGGAGTAGGATCGTGTCTGACAGCTTTTGTCGCCAGCGGCGCTACTTGCCCTACAGGCCTGGACATAGTGGACACTTGTTGCATCACCGGCGTGGGATCCGGGGCCAGAAGTCCGGACGGTGGGCTTGCCGGACAGTGCACGGCCTGGGTCGAGCCTTGCAATCCAATGGTCCTCCCTCTCGGAATCTCGCAAAACGCCATCGAACATCCCAAAAAAAATAAAAAATTCGAGGGATAGTAGTTCTCAACTACAATGCCCCAGGGGGGTGCTGCCTAGTTTATATTTACCGCGCCCGAAAGCCCGAAAGCCCGAAAGCTAAACCCACGCTAGACAAGTGCACACGAGCCCAGCCGGTTGGAAATAGGGCCACTTTTCCCATTGTGGAGTGGTCATTGGTCGGCCAAGACGCTCGCTTCGGGAAAGGTCAGCAAAACGGGGCTGCTGAATACTATATACTGGCAAGACTTGCCTTATCTGCCATATCCTAATTAGCCCCAACCTCCGCTTGCCCAGCGTGGATATCCCCTTGCCGGGGGATCGTCCGCCCACCTGTGTCCCCTGCTTTGCATCAGACTTTTAGCACCACTGTAGCTCTGCTGGGTTGCTTGGAGGGGAGGGGCTTCTTGTCTGGAAGTTGCGCCTCTACATTTGCGTGGTGTCCAGACAGCGAGTTGCTCTTGCGCATTCCCCAGCTGGCAGAGGGTCGCCATTATCTTGCGTATCGCAATCCTGCCCGGGGAAAGCCCCCATTATCTTTGCATCGAATACCACCATGAGCCTCGCAGGTAAGATCTTTGTGGTAACTGGCGGCGGGTCCGGAATCGGAATGGCTACCGTCAACAAGCTCCTCCAAAATTCAGCGACGGTCCACGTCCTAGACATCACAGACATCCCCTCGCACGGGAGCACGCCCGGCCAACAAATCTCGCATCCTCAGGTTGATATCGGTTCTCGCAGTCAGGTGAAGGCCGTGTTCGACAAGATCGCAACACGTTCCAACGGCGCACCCTGGCTCGACGGGTTGGTCAATTGCGCAGGCATGTTACGCTCGACGACGTGCTCCACCGATCCCCAGGATGATGAGACCTTCCGCATACTCTGGCAAGTCAACGTCATGGGCGCCTGGCACACAACCACCGAGTTCAAAGAGCGTCTGGACGCTAGTCGCGAGCTGCATGACCCTGCCTTGGCCCATGCTACAACGAGCGTTGTCAATGTTGGATCCATGGCCTCGGTCAGGGGCATCCCGGGAATGGCGGCTTATGTGGCCAGCAAGCACGCACTGCACGGTCTGACGAGGGTATTTGCCCAGGAGCTCGGTCCGGCAGGGTTCAGGGTGAACACGGTGGCCCCAGGCGCTGTCAACACGCCCATGATTGCGGCGGCATTGCGTGATGGCCATCACGATGCAGCATACAAGGGCGCGTTCAAGATCTGCTCGGAACCAGAAGAGATCGCAGATACAATTGTCTTCCTCTTAGGAGAGGGGTCATCATCGATTTCAGGGCAGATTCTGGAAGTCAATGGAGGGTGGCCTTGACCTCGTGCCAACCACGGGAAGGAAAGGAATCTTGTCAGAAGAGTGACCCCTGGCAGTGCACTGGACAATCTCAGGGGACCGAATTGTAAGGGCATGGAGTTCCAGACAGGTCTGTCTGAAGCTTCTTTTCTGTCACTGTAGCGGAACTATCGTTCTGGAAATGAAGTGTGAAGCTGTAGACTGACCGGATTTCATCTTGTCTTCGATTCTGTGCGAAACTTTTAACCAATCATGGTTTCAGGGATCAGCGTATTGCGACCCCGTGTGTGATCCCGTCCTGTTTTGCGATACTAGGACGAGCAGGACTGACGCAAAAATGGTTCATAAGGTTGTTGGCCCTCGCGGAACCACAAAACTGTGATACGAATAATGGCTACATGTTCCTTGCGCTTCTCATTTCAGCTCGAAGCCAGACCACTCATCGATGGCCCTTTCCGTCTCCTTTCTCCACGCTTGCAGACCCAGTGTCCAGAAGAGGGGCTCTCTCGTCTTGCCGGGGATGTTGGATCCATTCCACCACGATGGCGTGTCTTTGGCCAACGACTGGCTGTACGCATCTAAGTTGCGTTGGACATAGGCCTTGGCCGTGTCGTGTTTGACTTCGAATGTCGAGCACGACGTAGCTTTGAGTTTTGCCAGGAATTCAACGATCCAGTCGACCTGCATCTCGAGAAATGGAGGCCCATTCGCCAACCCCGATGGAGCCTGCGGTCCATAGAGCATGAACATGTTGGGGAATTCCGGAGCCAACATCCCGAGGTATGTCTGAATAGACTTGGACCAGTGGTCTTGGAGTTTAACGCCGTCCTTGCCTACGATGTTCATCTCGTATAGACTACCAGTGACTGAATCGTAACCGGTGGCCATGATCACAATGTCCAGGTCGTGGGTGGCTTCGCCGTTGGGGCCGGAGGTTGTAACACCATTCTTGGTAAACCTCAGGATCGCTTCCTCCTTGAGATTAACCAGTCTGACGTTGGGGCGGTCGATCATTTCATAGTAATCCATCTCGAGGTTGGGCCGCTTGGTGCCGATCCACTGAAACTGCTTCAACGGAGCCATAATGTCCCTCTTGACGGTATCGGTGATACGAGCGCGCACAGTCTTGGCCCAGTACTGGTACATCTCTGCGTTGGCTTCCTTGACATAGCTGATCTCCGGGTAGTTGCTCGTCAAGATGGCGTAGCTGCCTCGCGTCCAGAGGTCAGTATAGAGCTTTTCACGCTCGTCGGGTGTGGCGTCGAAGAAGGAGCGGCTAGGCGGATTGTAAGCATAGGCTGCCTCATCCTTGGTCTTTGAATGCGTGTAGAGTGCATTGTATGTGTTTTTCTGCTCCTCAGCCTCGGCAGCAGAGATACTTCGCTGCTTCATTGGAAGTGCCGTTGGGGGGTTCCTTAAGAAGACCGTGATTTCGGCACCGATATCCTCCTTTGCCAGCTCCTGCAAAATCTGCAGTCCCGATGCGCCCTGGCCAACGATGCCCACCTTCTTGTTCTTGAGACCCAGACTGGCCGTGTCTGGCCAGCGGCAAGGGTGCAGCACTGTGCCACAAAAGCTGTCAAGGCCAGGGAACTTGGGGACGTAGGGCTTGTTCGTGGTGCCGGTGGCAAAGATAGCGTATTGGGCAGTGGCCACAATTCCGTTGTTGGTACTGAGTGTCCAGCGATTGAAATTTGAATCGTACTTGGCCTGGATGACACGAGCGTTGAAGATGGCATCCTTGTAAAGGTCTAGTGCCACGGCCATCTGGCTGAAGTACGCTCGAAGCTCGACATAGCCTGGATATCGCTCTTTAAAGTTGAAGTTGCGCCAGGCGTCCGGATGGCTCAGCTGGTAGAGGGGCACCTCGGAGTCCACACGCGCTCCTGGGTACTTATTAAAATGCCATACGCCGCCAAAGTCGCTCCCAGCTTCAATCAGCTTAACCGTATATCCAGCCTCGCGCAGCGCGTATAAAGCATAGCAGCCTCCAAAGCCGCCACCAACAACGACAACGTTGGCAGAGATGGTCTGTGTGCCGTTGGATGCAAACGGCGTCGTCGCTTGAGCCATGTTTTGTTAATCTGTTCGTTGCTTTTGTAGACGCGCCGGGCGATACGCTTCTGCCAATACTAATAGTACCTACCAGAGCATATCTCCCCGGTTTCATAAGAAATAAGGTATCCTCGACTTGGGATTCCCCGCGTGGAGCCTCCTTGCCAGCTTGCAATATGGAGCACTTGCTGTGATCCCTTCCATTCGAGCATCACCTGCGAACAGTCTCATGGTGCTGCCAGAGCCCGAGAACCGCGCAAACTTCACCCCGAATTCCCGTGCGAGGATTCAATCGGTTGTGCAGAATCAAGGTACCTCCAATAGCAGCGCTGTCGATGGATCCGGTGCCCGGATCCCGACGCAATCTAAAACGCCGTTAATCCCGTGGAGAATTGGTATCAGGTACTTTCTTCGTGTGGACCGGTGCCTGCCGAAGGTGCAGGCAAGTGCGCAAGTTATGTTTACATACAACGCTTCTTTGTGAGCCAGCAAGTATTTGTTATACGTGAGCCCATGGCTTGCACCATTCAAGGTGACAAGTAACATCATCGAATTCAAGTCAGCTCCCACGAAATACACAACGACTCACAGTCTATCTCAACCTAGTCCGACACGCGGCAATGGCTTCCAGCTTGGTCATCGATAAAGATTTCGCTGTAGCTCTCCAGCCATTTCTCTCCGGCCAACAGCACGTCGAAAAACCGAAGCTCTACGACGTAGAGTCAAGAAGGGCCCGCTATGCGGCCATCGGAGGATCCGCCCCCCAAATTCCCGACTCGGTGGCCTTTGAGATCTTGACAATCAGTCGGCCAGACGGATCAAGTCTCAAGGTGCATCACTTCAGGCATCGTGATCAGAAGGCGCCCGCTGCTGCTGTGATTCATTTTCACGGTGGAGGCTTCATTTCCTGCACTCCCGACATTAACACCGATCGCCTTTCCTTGGTCGTCCGCGACACGGGTGTCCAGGCCTTTTCTGTCGACTACAGACTTGCTCCCGAGCACCCCTACCCAGCCGCTGTCGATGATGCATGGACGGCGCTTATCTGGGTGCGTGAGCATGCGCAGACGCTCGGCATTGATCTGTCACGCCTTGCCGTAATGGGCGAGAGCTCAGGAGGCGGCCTCGCTGCAGCCTTGACCATCCGCGCACGTGAGAATCATCTCTCCCCGCCCATTGCGCGCCAAGTGCTAGGTTCTCCTATGCTGGACGACCGGACGCTGGGCGATGTGCCAGGAGACTTCAAGCTATGGGACAAGGACGACAACCTGACAGCGTGGACGGCGTACCTCGCAGGGCCGCCTGGAGGTCACAACGTGCCCGACACGGCGGCCCCAGCACGCGTACAGAGTGTGACGAGACTACCATCTCTTTATCTGGACACGAGTCAATTTGACCTGTTCGTTGGCGAGAACCTCGACTATGTGCGGAGGTTCATCGATGCAGGTATCGAGGTTGAGTTGCACCTCAGCCCAGGTCTTCCACATGGCTTTGATGGCCTCTTACCGACCCATCGGGTGAGCATGCAGTACGAGGAACACAGAAAGAGAATTCTCAAGGCCTTGTGAGCAGGCGGCGCAGAGCAATGAGACAAAGCTAGCTCATTCGACTAAATATCTAAGTTTCCCAGTTGGGACTTGTTCATCATTCATATTGACTCGGGGGGAATACTTCGCCGTGTGGAGGAAATATGAGCTCGATCCATTGTAGATTGAAGAATGTAGCCTTGTTTTGAAAGTTGAAAGTGATAGCTGTCCCTAATTTGTCAATTTCGTGGCGGTCCTGCTCTGAGGATCGAATTCCGAAACATAGCGCCTCGAGGGGTTGGGATACTCTTTGGATACACTTTTGGCGGACAATCGGCCAAGCTCAACCGTGCCCGTCCTGATCGAAGACACGTTACAGAACCGGAGACTGAACATTTAGAGGTGAAAGCTGTAGAGGTGCACCCACAAAAAGTACAGAAAGGAAGTGAGATCTATAACGAGCGGTTGTACAGATTGCGACTGTTTTCTAACGAGCACCAAATGGTGCCAGTTCACGAAGGGAGCACAGCAACTAAATGGCCAGTTGGCTTTCTGGCCATCGACGTCGTCAATCGCGTTTGCTCGACAGCCATGCGGCATGACGACCAGCCCGTATCCCGCTGAAGACACCGTCGGCCAAGGACAGTCCGCTAACATAGTTGTTGGCGCAGATTCCCGCTGCCGTGCGTCCAGCTGCATAAACGCCTGGGATTTCTTCCCCGAACTCGTTCAACAGCAATCCCGAGTCGCCATGAACGCGTAAGCCGCCGAGAGTTATTGCAGGGGCTGGCCAAATTCGTTGCCCGCGTCTTGGTACCAACGACACGTCGAGGGCATAGAATGGGCCTTGTGTCAAGGGTGTCGATAATGAGGGAGCCTTGTGGAAGGGTTCTCCAGCACCCGAAAAGATTCCTTCATTGTAAGAATTAATGGTCTCCCTGAGTCCGTCAATACTGACGCCGATCTTTCTCGCCAGACTATCAAGAGTGTCGGCCTTTTCATGACCGACGGTGAATAGAAACCATGTCTGGAGCTTCTGAAACGGTGCTGCTTGGCTTTTCACGTCCTGTTGAGCCCTTTTCCACAGAGAAGCATCCAGGATCAAGAAACCTCTGCCATGAGCTCGATGCACAAGACCTTCAGTGAATTGTGCGCCATACAAGTCTTCGTTTATGATTCGTTTGCCGTTCATGTCCACTGCAACGCCATGGAGGAACGTCTCTGGCGGGGAGAGAAAACGCCAACAGCTCATCCGGTCCATGTGAGTAGTGACTCCACCTACACTCTGCCCGAGAAGGATGCCGGAGCCATTGTCACCGGGTGTACCCAAAGGTTGTGCTCCACGATATTTGGAAAGATGTTCCTGGACCATTTTTTCATTGAAGACGAACCCGCCAGCGGCCAGGATGACTGCAGAGGCACTAAGAGCCTGTTCTTTCGCTGCCCCTTGCCAAAGCGCCTCGACACGCCCCTGTAGATGTTTCCCAAGGGGTGGGAACCAGTTATTGAGTGGCTTGTATTTTTGGAGATGCAAAAGCTTTTTGAAGACCTTTTCATGTCGGTCGACCGACCTGAGCGATATCGATGGGAGAGTAGTACTTCCTCCCTTTGACAAGCGCTCTACTCTCGAAAAAGGCCTTACCTCGACGCCAAGTTTTAGCACCGCATCCCGGAGGCTTGACCATAAGACATTTCCGGACGAAAGACCTTTTGCCACAGTACGATGACCACGAGGATGAGGCTGTGCTGAATTGGCGTACGGCCACGCTTTTTCGTTTCCACTGTAGTAGAGGTAGTGGTTGTCCGTTGGATATGAGGTCTTGTACGGGCAAAGACTGCCTCGAAAGGTCGCTCCGTGACGCTCGAGCCATTCGAGTCTCTCTTTACTCCCATCACAAAAGGCTTTCAGTGTCTTCTCGTCAACAGCTCCGGAAGCTTTGCGTGTGTCGTGAGATTCAGAAAGAGCAGCGGCCGGCGAGCTTGGGTAAGGATAGATCCCCGGACCCCAGATCTCTTGTGCAAGATATTTGTACATCTCTTCTGGAGTGTCGTGACCATGTCCAGCCTCTTCTTGTTGCCTCGTGCCGCCTCCCGAGTACACAACGCCGCCGGAAAGCGCCGACGCGCCTCCACCATTTTCCCGATCCAAGATCAATACGCGGCGCCCCATCTCTGCTGCTGCGATGGCCGCCGAGGCACCCGCGACGCCGAAGCCCACGACTATTACATCGTAGTCCGACAGAGCCGCTCGCGAAGATGCAGGGGCGGCATATTGCCTATTGCTGGAGTGGCTGGGTTGCTTGGTTTTCGAATTTGACTGGATCACCGGCCTCTGTGTCGAGCATGTTTCGCATTGCCCTGTGTTGGTGGGCCGGTAGACTGAAAGGGCGATACTTCTGCAATGAGTCTCATTCGTTCCCAGAGTGAGGACATGTCTCTTTTTCCGTAACCGCTGAGCTCCCAAAGGAGCGGGGATGTTCACCCACACTCCCATGCACTGCACCCGAGATGAACGACACAAGTGCTGGGTTTGCAAACTGATCATCGTCCGGGTGGGCTTTCAAGCATGAAAGGTATTCTGGACGCTGCTAGAGGGGCGCATAGTTTTACATAGGCTAGAGGAGAGCGGCGTCAGATGGTCAGGATGGACAACTAGTAGTCACAATGGCATGAAAATACAACATCGGACGGAATGAAGGGACCAAATTCGGAGCTTCTGTAGCGAGTATAAAGCACTATCCAGAATGGGGGGCGGAAGTCCCCACCGCAGTTACGAATCGCTGACTCCAGGGCGGACAGGCTGAATGCAGCGTCCATAGCAGAATTGGTGTCCGCCTCCGCACTTTTGAACTTGGCAATAACCCTAAGGAATCCGCCTGTTCGGATGAAATGGCGCTTCGGCCGTTCGGGTTCCCGAGACGCCCTGTTTCGTGAATGAATCGCATGATGCACAAACGAACGAAACATTCACCCCCGTAACGATACGAATTCTATGAGCGGATACGGTGGGGAGACTCTCCGTCCGGGCAACCTCTGATCATAGTAGAGCCTGGTGACTCTGGACTTGCAGCAGGATGGATATCAAGGGCGCCCTGTCGTTCGCGAAGGGCGCCGGCAGAGGAGCTATCTGCCGTCCAGTCACGTATGTGCTAGGCCCCTCTAGATCCCTTAAGTGGCAGACACAACCTCTCGGAATCAACAAGGCACTTTTCTTTCCCCTGCGCATTCTTCCGTCGAGGAAGTCAGAGCCCCCATATCTAGTTCATCGGGAACCCTGTCCTCATAAATGATCACAGCTCTGTGTGACCGACCTTCGGCATCATCAACAAACCTTTTTCACCTCACCTTCCTGTGTGATGAGACACGCCGGGGTTTGTTTATCCCAGATCAAACCGTACAGAGTTGTTTGGACATGGTGTGGTGCGAGAACGATGCAAGGTCTCCGGAATCATCTTCGTTACGGAGCATCGAGTGCTCAGCCGGGCAATGGGAAACGGCACGTCTCAGAAACCTCTTTTGCGGGAGGGCACATCCAGGACTTTGACGAGGCGGCGGCAGACGTCCTTATTGTGGGCTCCGGGGCGGCTGGACTGATGGCAGCGCTGAGAGCCCACTACCAAGGCCTCAGCCCGCTGATCATCGAAAAGTCGGACAAGGCTGGTGGCGCAACGGCATACTCGGGCGGCGCAGCCTGGATCCCCAACAACCACCTCCAGACGCAGCACGGCATTCGAGATAGCCCGGAAATGGCTCTCACGTACCTGAACAACCTCATCGGCGACGTGGGCGAGGGTTCCACCATTCGGCGTAGACAGGCGTACGTTGACAATTCACCCAAGATGGTGCAGTTCCTCGCTGATCAAGGATTTCGTTGGATCATGTCGGAAGGTTACTCAGATTACCACCCAAACATCGAGGGCAGCCTGGACCAGGGTCGAACCATCGAGAGTAAGGTCTTCAACTTCAGGAAACTGGGCAAGTTCCGTAAACACATGAATGTCAACCCGAGATATCCGTTACCTCCAGTCTATGCTTATGAGGCCGGACAGGTCACTCGTGCCATCACGTCGATCAAGGCGTCCGGGGTGCTCCTCAGGCTCGCGGCGCGATGGGCTGTTAATCTTCTGCTCCTTCGCGAACCTGTGACCCTGGGCCATGCGACGGCGGGCCAACTGGTGATGCTCAATCTGCAGCAACAGACTCCTATCTGGCTATCAACATCACTGGAAGAGCTCGTTTTGGACAACGAGGGCGCTGTGATTGGAGCAATCGTGAAGAAGGACGGCCAGAGTGTCCGCATTTGCGCGAAGCATGGCGTTGTTCTCTGTGCTGGAGGGTTTGCGAAGAACCAGGAGATGCGTGAATCTTACCAGCAAAAACCTACAGACTCCCGCTGGTCGTCTGCCCCGCCCTACGATAATGGCGACGCTATTCGAGCTGGCATAAAAGTCGGCGCGGCGACCGCACTGATGGACGATGCGTGGTGGGGGCCGACCATGATGGAGGGGAATCAGTGGCCGTACTTTGCTCTTTGGGACCGGGCACGCCCATTCTCAATCATCGTCGACAGCGCAGGCGACCGATTCATGGACGAGGCCGAGTCCTACGTCGACGCCGTGCACCACCAGTACGAGCGACACACCAAGGTCAAAGCAATCCCGGCCTGGATGATCGTCGACTCCAACTACCGCAAACGCTACTCGATCGGGTCTGTACCGCCGAGGACCTCGGGCAGAAAGGCCATCAGGGACGGATTTTTGTTCAAGGCCGACACGCTAGACGAACTGGCCTCGAAGATCGGAGTCAACGCGGAGGGACTTCAACGGACGGTAACAAGATGGAACGAGATGAGCAAGAGCGGCGTTGACCTGGACTACGGTCGGGGCTCAAATTCCTACGATCACTTCTTCGGTGACCCGACCAACAAGCCTAATCCGAACATGGGTGCCATCTCGACGGGTCCGTTTTACGCCGTGAAGATTTATCCCGGAGACTTGGGCACAAAGGGAGGATTGCTGACTGACGAGCACGCCCGAGTCCTGGACAGCCAGGGAAAGACCATCCAAGGCTTGTACGCCAGTGGCAACACCACCGCTTCGGTCATGGGACGCCGTTACGCCGGAGCTGGGGCGACTATCGGACCGGCCCTGACGTTCTCGTTCATCGCTGTTGACCACATCGCCAATCAAAGAAAGTAGACGCCAGAGCCAGCATTTTTGAATGCTCCATCCAACGCCATCTTCGCTATGGCCACAAAGGAAATGTTTGTCTCGGCGTATGACGAAGAACGACGAATTCTGATAGCACGGTTTGAGCTTTCGCACGGAAGGAAAGGCTCCGTGGCAGCACTGCTTGTGACGTATAGTCCGTGGGTGACAGCCGTGCTCGGACATGGGCCATTGGCATCAGTCAAGCAAGCCTGTGAGGCTGTCTGAGGCACGGAAAACTCAACATGGCAAGTAACGGCTAAATCTCCGGAGTTTCGGGTCTTCGCGTATCTAGAAATTCCGCGAGTGGCGCATTCATCGTCTCCACCTAATACATGGTACTGATTGGCTATATTGAGATGGAGCCACTTCTCATTGGTTGGCCGAGCCAAGGCAGTGGTGCTCTCCAGATTGGCCCCGTCACTCTGTTCTGGGTTGCCTGCATTAATGTATTCGAATCAGAGCCGGGCGTCGGTATCTTCGAGTCCAAGACTTATCAAGTCTTCCTCATTTTCCTCGGCATTACCATGCTCTGCACCGCCATTTCTGCCTTCGGGAACCGCTGGCTTCCCTGGCTTGACGTGAGTATAGCCTCCCTCAACCAGACATGCTGGGCTCACCATGGGCAGACGTCCGCAATCTTTTGGACTTTTTTGGCGGTTTGATTGCCATCAGTGCGTAAACGCACATACGTATACCTTATCCTGAGTGACAGAGTGAAACAAATCTGTGACGTCCTTTTTGCTCTTTGGCCAGCGCCTCCCGGAGGTGCATGTTCATATAGACAATAAACACGGACTGATTGAACAACATAATTTTGTCTTGCGGGATCTTGCGTATAGTGACCATGAGGCGTTTGGCCCTTTATCAACCAATGAGCCATCTAGCAGTGAAAGCTTTTGTTCCAGACCTCAACTCCCCTCAGCCGATGTCTATATGATGTATTCCCATGTGCTCCTTTGAACGCACCAATGTATAACTTCCGTCTCTAGAAGGACTGGGGAGATTCTGTACAGTTGCCAGATGTTGTACACAGTTTCGTTGCAGCGGCTCCGTCATACAACAGAGCAGTTTACCACCTGCCCTATTGCAACCTACTGTGGGTTCGGACGCATGGTACTGAAGATTGGCTGATTCATACCGAACCATTCCAGATTGGGCGGCTGAAAGGACAGACTCTGCAACGAGGGGTCTGCATCTTGTCCACTCATGTACAAGTCCTCGGTGCTGAATCCCTGGTTCTGCGCCAATAAGTCGCCATCGTTCGGGTAATACCACGAATGGTCGTCTGTGAGGTCCGCGAGAGGTCGCAATCCGAGCGTGCCAAGATAGGAATCCAGCTGCGCCTCGAGCTCCTTGTCTTCGGCACGTTGCACCGTGGGCTCGTTCTTACGCTCTAGGTAATTTTGCGCAGCTACGTAGAACGCTTGGAAGAGGCGGTGAAGTCCCTCAAGAGCGGGATGCTGCGAGGCGCCTCCAATGGACGTGACAAAGGTTCCAAGGAGGGTGAAGTCCTCACGCTCGCCCGTATTGATGACATGACAGAACAGAACGAAGAATGGGATGAAGGGGAAGAATAGTAGGGTCCTGTTTGGGGTTTGTGAGCCCATGCTTTGAGTGGAGTAGCCCACCATGGTCGGTGCACATACCAGTTCATATAGAAGTCAAGAAGAGGAGGTGTACTCATGTCAGATTGATTGTGCCGTGAGAGAGCTGCCCTGGCGCAGCGGAGACATTCGTCATTGAACGGCTGCCGTAAGCCTTTGGGCAGTGGAGAAGCCCGATGGACGAGAGTCAAAAGAGAGAAGAAGATGACTGCATCCGAGGCAGTTGTGAATTCATACAATGGCAGTCGATCCTGGGCGGACGCGAGGCTGCGTAGCTTGGGCTGGCGCAATCAGAATGTGATGGAGACAGCTACTGTCCGGGGCGAAACTCACCGCATTGAGTGCGTACGCTTGCTGAATCATTGTTACGTCGTGAGCCAAGGTTTGAACTCTAGATCGCTGGGTGTCCGCGTCCAACTCGAGCGATCGAGCAGAGAAGAGTTCGAGGTAGACCCGGCCCGCCAGTCTAGCAAGCTTCACCTGCAGCTGACAGTACAGCATAATGGGGCATGAAGTATCAGCCCCACCAGGATATGGAACGGTGATATCGTCATCTGGAATAGTGGAGGCACGCCCCAGACGTAGGCTCAGGGCCTTTTCAAGGAAGTAGATGACCCAGAACAGCAAGCCGGTATGGTCAGGGACATCGGATCCTATCTTGTGGTAGCCCAGCACACAGGCTGCCTGGTAAGCTGATGCGACCAAGGTCTGGGATAGCGCCGTTTTGGAATTGCCCATGGCATACATGGACTGCGCATCGTCCTGACTGTCAGTGCTGGCGTTCTGCCACAGATCAGGGACGAGATATTGACTCACACTTATGGCAAGCGCAAGGACCATGCGATGGGTACGCGGCATCAGCAGGGGCAGGTTATTAAGTGCCTTTTCGAGGTTGGCCGCGAACCATCCTCTGTACTCTTGGTAAGCTTGCAGGCTCTCGCCCTGAGCAGGCGAGAAAGTTCTCGCTTCTTCCAGCAAATCTGTGACGCAGCGCAATTAGGTGTAAGGTATTGTTTACGGGAGAAGAGGCTGGGAGAGGCTGGTCCTGACTTACTGTACAAGATGCAGTTGACGATGATGTAGTCAGCGCGATCGTACACAGGTTCGAAGTAGATGCTGAGGCAAAGATCGGAAAGGCTGGCCAAAGGAGACAGCTTCCGGAAGAAGCCAAAATAGAGGCTGTTGACCGCTGTCGTGGCAGGCAGGTCAGCACTGTACGCGCAGTGGATCGGCGGTCAAAAGGAAACACTCACCTCGGGCCTGCTGGATGATGGCGACGGAGACCTCTAGAGGGGGCATGCTCTTGTGTTGCGAGGATGTCGTCTTGCGGCTAGCTGCCGGCCTGCTACGCTCATTAGGGGAACCGCGAGAGTGCGAGCCAGTGTGAGGCTGCCGCACAGCGCCAACCGCCTCATTTAGGGCGCTGAGGAGCCCGCGCGTACTGCCGCTGAGATCGCCCCGCTCGTCCCAGTTAGCGACCTTTGTCAGGAAGTCAACGGCGAACGTCGAGTGCGCTGCTAGTGATGAGAGACCATCAGGCTCGATGTAGCGGCTATCGTCTTCCTCGGTGAGCACGTCAGCGCCAGCATCGACACCAGGCGCACCGGGAAAGGGATGATGCACCGACGATGCGCTGTCCTGTGGGGTATGCTGAACCGGCAGCGGCGGCCTCAATGCCTGCGACTGCAAGTCCACTCCCTCGTTGGACAGAGGGCTGTGAAGATTCTGGGTTGCGATGGAGGAGACTGCGTGGTCGAGGCGATCGAGACGTTCGGCGATGGACGGGATGCGGTCCGCGCTAGGCATGAGCAACTCCGGTTAGCACACATCAACGACTGGGAGCGTGCCCCCCAGCCTGTCGGTCAGGCAGAGCTTGCGAAGGAGAGGCGAGCCGTACACTTCTCCGGCAGGCGTTTGACGGTGCTTCCGGCGAGGATTGCGGGGGCTGACGACACATTCCACGCGGGCACGAACGCAGTTTCCACAGGGCAACGCCTTGTCACAGCGAATCTGTCGCGACGAGCGCTCGTCAGCTCTGCATCACAAGCGCAAGTGAATTGAGGAACAATCCATCAATGTTTAAGTGTCCCGCTTGCTGGCCTGCTTGCCTACCTTTCTACGGTAACATGCATCGCACTGCGGGAGGCGCAGATATCAGCTCTGTTCCGTTTTGTCGTCGAGAAACAACTGCTGTCGGTGGGCTTACAGATTTTCTTGGAGGCTCATATGTCTGGCGGAGACTGGCGTCCGCTTCGGAAATGTCCACGTGGGACATGGAGCGGATATCGATGTTGCTACAGACAAAGTAAGGACCTGACTGATCACTGGGTTGGTGGACGTCTTTGATGGATAACAGAAACAGGGCCGATCGGAATGAGCGGAAATGGACGAAAAGGACACTCTGACGTCAGGCTTTCATTTGTGTCCGGACAAGGCCCCAACAGAGTTCGAAAGGTGAGTAGAAGTGAGGAGGAGGGTGAGTCGCAAGAAGGCAGTATTAAAAGCGGCACGGTCTGGGTGGGCGTCCACGTGAGCTCCGAGCAGTTTTTACTCTGCTGGAGATGCCAAGTAGTTGTAATACCTCACCACGATAGGCAGCGACACCACCTTACCGTCACAGCAACAACGTTGAATATAGTGGTGAACTCATCTGCCCGGAAAAAGTCTATAGTTCCAAGTCCGGGTGGTGGAGGTGGTCGGAGAAAATCTTTCTCGCTCGCCTGCGGGACTGCTACTTTTGCTCTGTGGCTGCTCACCAAGCAGAGGATACGAGGAAAATAGTGAGCAGGGCTTTCACAGATGATTTAAGGCATTTTCATCGGAAACAATATCTTAAAGAGCTATTCAAAATGTCCTTTGCGGTCCGACACAGGTGTACTGTAGTTCGTACACCATGGACGTCGTCGTAGATGGACAAGGGCTAGTCTCGGGATGGTAAGGATTAGGACAAATACGAGGCATTGTGTGGTTGACAGGCTTGATGTTGTAGTGGGAACGACGAAAGTGGACATCGGGTGTCGTCGCCTTCAGCTGTTGGAAGAAAGCATCTCAGGAATGTATGTAATTGACAATTCCAAAAGCCGCAATTGCCCGCAGTCCGTAGCAATCACGACTGACCGATGCCGGGTACGGGTGGATATTCATTCATGTACGAGGTATGTCCTCACAATTCTCCTGAGCTCGAAGTCCTGGCGGCCTGGGCAATGCTACACCGCCAATCGGGGACTCCAAGTCAGCCACGGTGGAGGAGGGAAGGACTGCGCGCGCCCTATCCGTGGGTGCAAAGGGAGGATGTCTTGCTCGGAGGTATGTACGAGTACCAGACAGAGAGCTTCGGGTGTGGTACCAGAAGACATGGGAAGACTGGTGGTAGCCTTGCCCAGTGGATTGATCTGGGGCGTCTCTTCCTTGAAATAGGGTATCATACAGAAGAAGGACCGTTTGATCTAGGATTTGATTACATAGAAGCGAGCGTTTACTTCATTCAGATGATGGCAGTCGACAACAAGTCCATACAACAAGGTAAGACTCTGGTAGAGTTATGAACGTTGTTCAAGTGCAGCGCAGGCAATCGTGGACACTGCCGTGCCTGCCTCAGCTGGACCCCTACAAAGCTCACCTAATGTAAGCCACCCGGGGTCTAGGTATATCCAGAGGTTAGGTACGATGCTTTAGGGGTCCCCAGGTAGTCCGGGTGTCTACGGTCCATAATTCCGGGCAGCCACAATGGATTGTTTACCTCCGTCAGGCCACCAGGGCACCATGCATCCTCGGCTTCTCTCTTTAAATTCCACCGCACAAACTCGCACAACTTCCAAACTGGCCATTCACATCATTCACCTCGTCCACTCGCCCAACCAACTCAGCCTCTCGATTCTTTGCCTTTGTCCGAAACTTGTCCCCCCTCGAAAATTGACCAAAGTTCCCGGTAAGTGATCCTCCTGGTTCCTTCGCAGGGCTTCTTGGTGACTCTGGTTAACCAGCTTTTAGCGCACCCGAGATCCTCCCGCCTATTCCCTACCCAGAAGTAGCGCCTAGTCCCGCAATAAGAAAGATATTTCTCTTCGCCTCCTTCCGCGACTCTCTTCTCTTTTTTTCTCTCTTCTCATCATCATTACTTTCCATTCTGTCCAGCGGTCGAGAATCTCTCGCTCTCGCCCAGATATCCCCATCATCAAGCTCCTTCAGAATTCCAGTATTTCCATCGCCCTCGGGATCGGTTGCGCCCCCGTCCTGCTCGGATTGTTTCATCCGCTGCCCCTCGACCCATTCACCGCAGAAGCAAACGCCTCAACAGTCACAGCGCAGGCATCGGTTGTTCATGTATCGGACAGTCTTTCACACCTCCAAAACCAAAACCAAACAAAAGCTGGACATATTTCCGGCCAAAAGACATCTCTGTCGCGTCGCGAGATCCTCCTATGGTTGATACGCTGCCGGTGAACGTTTTCTTCATGTTATATTTCATTATTCAGTGGTGAAATCCACGCATGTCTGGTCAATTTGAAAGATTCGCAAACATCCACACCCACCCCAACCACCACCTGCTCGTGTCCACCTGAGATATCAAGACCTTGGTTCTTCCTATCCCACCATTTTCCTACAGACAAATCGCCAGGAAAAGAGAAAAAGAGAAATCATCATCACTCAAAATGGCTACCATCAATATCCGTCGGGATGTTACCGATCCCTTCTATCGCTACAAGATGGAGCGCTTGCAGTCCAAGATTGAAGGCAAAGGCAACGGCATCAAGTAAGCCTCAGAACATTTGTTTTCGCCCCCTTAATAACAAATACTGACTTATTATAGAACTGTTGTTGCCAACCTTCCTAGCGTCTCGGCTTCTCTGGCCCGTCCTCCTGCCTACATCATCAAATATTTCGGCTTCGAGCTCGGTGCCCAGACCAACACCAATCCGAAAGATGATCGCTGGATAATCAATGGGGCCCATGAGGCCGGCAAATTGCAAGACTCGTTGGACGGCTTCATCTCTAGATTCGTCCTCTGCAAGTCATGCAAGAATCCCGAGACCGAGATCAATATCAAGGACGGACGCATTTTGTTGGACTGCAAAGCCTGTGGTCAACGTACTCAGGTTGACATACGCCACAAGTTGAGTGGATTCATCCTCAAGAACGAACCAAAAGGTGGAAAGAAAGGCGCAAAGAAGGAAAAGATGTCCCGCCGCGACCGAGCCAAAGCTGAGGCCCAGGAGAACGGCTCCATGAACGGTGGTAGCCCCCACGACTCCAACTCCGACAAGGGCGACATCGATGATGGAGACGTGGAGCTCGCAGCCGGCAGCGACGACGAGTTCACCAAACAGATCAATGCTGATGCCAAGGGCATTGAGGTCAACACCAACGGAGAGCCCAAGGATGAGGAATGGGCAGTCGACACTTCCGCTGAAGCTGTGGCTGCTCGTGCCAAAGAACTTCCAACCGAGTTGAAGCGATCTCTTGCCTTCGACGAGGAGGACGACGGGGAAGAAAATGGTGCCAACGCATACGATCAACTCGGATCCTGGGTTATTGACGAGGCGAAAGCCAAGGGTGCAGTGAGCAAGGTCGATGATCTTGAGATCTACAAAAAGGCCAAAGAGTTGGGGATTGAGAACAAGCACAAGACCCTTACTGTTCTCGCTCAGACAATATTCGACGAGAACATTGTCAAACAAATTCCTCAGCGATCTAGCATGCTCAAAACCATGATTGGAGACTCTGAGAAGCATATGAAGGCTTTCCTTGGCGGCACCGAGCGCTTCGTCGGCAATGACCACCCCGCCCTGATTCCTCAAGTGCCCGCTATCCTGCTGAGCTACTACCAAAACGACCTTTTGAGCGAAGAGGTCGCTAAGGCTTGGGGTCAAAAAGCCAGCAAGAAATACGTCGACATCAGCACCAGCCGCAAGGTGCGTCAAGCAGCCGAGAAGTTCTTGCAGTGGCTCGATGAGGCGGAGAGCGACGAAGAGAGCGACGAGGAGTAGGCTTTATATCTGATCCTCAGAGCTATGACTTTTCTAGCAATGAGTCAAGACTCCCTCCTCTCCGGCGCAATGGGCCTGTATGCTTGAAAATTGTTTTCTGGTCACTCCTTTCCCTCTTTTCGTGGTAATGGTGGTAAACAGACGTCCTCGTCAAGTCCGGTGTATGCTTGTCTTGAGGAGCCGACCCCTGTTCCTAGAATCTTGCCTACAAATTGAAAACCAGTCATCCTAGAGTTTTTTTGTCTGCTCCTTTTCTCCTTGGTGGTCCCCTTTGCTTGACGACAGTAAAGCATTCACCATCTACCCTGGAATTCCCAGCTTGTCCTTCCAATCGGGGAATATATAGGGCAACTTCTCTGGCAGGTGGTCCGGTAGATGATCTCGAATGACTCGGACTAATGCCTCGTACAACAGATTGTAGCCCTGTACAGTGAGGTGCAATCCGTCGTTCAACAGCTTTCCCAACACCTCATTTCTCGCGGCGTCCTTGCTTCCTATCAAGGGGCCTGTCGAACCTTCCTGCCAGCCAGCCTTACTCATAAATATTGTCCAGAGGTCGAGGACGGGGAGGCCCATTTCTCGCCCCACCTCTCGACACGCTGCGGCATATCTCGCTGTGTGTTCTGCTGTCCTTTCGCTGGAACCTAACTGCCATTCATCTACGGGTGGTGGAGTGATGAGGAGACATTCCGTCTGGTGTAACTCGACCCCGGGGAAGCTTATTATGGCTCTGAGGGCTCGTTGATACTCGGCGAGGGGAACATGTTGAGGATGACCGGGAAGGCAGGCGTCGTTTGCACCAAAGAAGATGGTCATCAGTTGTATCCTCGATGTGGCTGGTGACGGAGCAGATGGGAAAAATTGCCGGAGAATGTCATAGCCCATAGGAGCCGTGTAGCCGCTGAAGCCGCGATTGACAACATCGAGGCGGCGCGAGTACCACTCGGCTAGGGAGGCAAACAGGACTTGAGAAGAGAACTGGGTGATGCTGTCGCCGAAGAGGATGAATTGCGGGTACGTGGTCGGGTGCGGACTGGATGGGCCAAGGGGCCTTGCGGGATGATCACGAGCAGGAGAGCGAGACATTGTTTCATAGAGCGATCAGCCGTGAGGAGTTTTGTACTTGGGTATTGGTACCTACGGACCAAGGCGAAAGAAGTCAATAGGAGATCGCCCAAGCCATTCCTGCTAAAGGCTATTGCCCTCAATGTGCGCAGCGTGTATGAGTACATACCTTTGAAGCGTGGGGCAATCTCGGAGATGCAGAATGACAGGATGGTGCATCCAGGAATGATCACCAGGACGAATCATCTGCTAGGTTCGGGAGGTTGAGAGCGGTAGCTGCAGATGCATCAAGGGCTCACAGGATTGCGGAGCCAGTCGCCGCCCATCTGCAAGTCATCGTCAGTCGAATCAACGCAGCAGAGAATATGTTTCCATCCACCGAGGTTGCCGACGAAAGGTATCCGGGTCGTGTCCATCGTGTCCATCATTCTCTTAGCCCCGTGAGCATCCAATTGACGATGAAATCCTGGGGTGAAAAGGATGAGGCCTATCCACGATCAAGTAACAACAATACTCGACCGGGTCCTGTTGCGTATGCCCAGCCTGTTGCCGCTGCCGCCGTCGCCAGACTGCGGCCCTTGGGGCCCTTGACTCGCACGACTCGCCTCGCTGCGTGGGGCAGAAATCACAGACCTTCAACGCGTGCGGCCACACAAATTGTTTGTCAGATGATGGGATGCCCACTGCCACCCTCCACCAACTATCTACATACTCAATTCAGTCCAGTATGTATGAGAATTGACACAAACCATGTTGTCCACCTGATCAAGATGCCTTGGGGCTGAATATCACCCGCTCACCAACTTGCACACCGGCACCTTTTTCACTTGGTCATCTCTCTCCCCTGTCTAGGCTCGGTTCGCCCTGCTATCTCTCCTCCTTTTCCTCGTCAATGAAGGTCATTCTGTCTGGGCTGCCGCTAATATCTGCTGTCTCTTGACTCATAGAAGCCGAAGTACCTCTCTGTGCAAACGATTCTGCCCGAACATCCTGCCTCTCACCTGCCCTTCTCATGGCCAGCTGACGGGCCCTAGGAAGGCGGCGTCTGCCTGTAAAGGACGCCGTTCACTCCTCTTCGTTACCAGTCACGACCCTGCTGTTCGATCCTCTAGTCCTTTGGTGAAAAGAAAAAACACCAGAAGGACCTGCCGGCCACCATCATGCCTAAATCTTTCGTTTCTTTCCAAGACTACGATGAAGCCGATCACTTTTCATCCCGCCCTGCAACCACACCGTCCTCCCCCGAATTCTTGCGCAGGACGAATACTTCCCTGTCCGCAAACGAACTGAGGGGCCGTTTGCCGCCTTCTCTCGTTATGACTCCCAGATCAACAGAGGAGAGTGCCCTGTTGGAGGGAGACTACCCCGTCCGCAAATACACTGAAAGCATGCCCGAATCACCAAAGTCAAGACAGTTGTCGAGGGTGAACAGCACGAGTGACAGTCTACGCAGGCGAAGATATTACAGTGCTCGACCCTCGGGACATGCAAGTCCTGTGTGGATGCGGAACTCGGGTCTCCGTACGCCAAAGCTATCCTCATCCATGCTGGCGGGCTCATTGTCCAAAGATGATCGACTGTGGTACGATCAATTCACCTCAACCGACTGGGTGCACGACAGCATTGCTGATGGATACCGTGTGCTGGACCTGAAAAAGCGGAAAGGCTGGCGAGGCCGCCTAGGGTTGCTTCTTGATTCAGCTCAGGGTTGGGTTCTCGTTGCTCTGATCGGGGTGGTTACCGCAGGCTTAGCCTACCTTGTCGATGTCACAGAGTCGGCAATTTTCGACATCAAGCGTGGCTTTTGTCGAGGCGCTTGGTATCTTGGTCGCACAAATTGCTGTTCTGGCGAACGCAGCTGTGACAGATGGAGGACTTGGTCCAAACTCATCCATCCGTCCGGCATGGACGATGTCTACATCGACTACGTGGCATACATTATCGGATCGTTGGTGCTCGCCGCCCTGGCCTGCTTTATCACTCTCTATTCTAAGACCGTCGTACCGTCTCAAATTGCCTCTACTTTTGATGAGAATCTCGGCGCCATCCAGCAGAACGTAAATGAGGACGAAGCTGACGAGGGCAAGTCAGGTGGAACTCAGCTCCTGACAACACAAGATCCGCCACCTCCAAACGTCTACTACTCGGCGGCTGGAAGTGGTGTTGCCGAAGTCAAGGTCATTTTGAGTGGATTCGTTCTCCATGGATACCTTGGCCTTCGGGTTCTGGTTCTGAAGACCATCGCTCTGATTTTGAGCGTGGCTTCTGGGATGAGCTTGGGTAAAGAAGGCCCTTATGTCCATATCGCAACGTGTGTGGGCAATATCGCCTGCCGATTGTTCTCCAAATACAATCTCAACGACGGTAAGAGACGGGAGGTCTTATCCGCAAGCGCTGCTGCTGGGGTCGCCGTCGCTTTTGGTTCACCCCTGGGTGGAGTCCTTTTCAGCCTGGAGGAAGTCAGCTATTACTTTCCCTCAAAGACTCTATTCCGAACATTCTTTTGTTGCATCGTGGCCGCGTTGTCCCTCAAGTTCCTGAACCCGTACGGGACGAACAAAATTGTTTTGTTTGAGGTCCGTTACATCACGGATTGGCGTTTCTTCGAACTTTTTCTATTCATCTTGCTCGGCGTTGCAGGTGGGTTGGCTGGTGCGCTCTTCATCAAAGCGTCTAGATTCTGGGCCACCACTTTCCGCCGCATCAAAATCATCAAAACCTTTCCGATGCTGGAAGTCCTCCTTGTGGCACTAGTTACCGGCCTCGTCAGCTTCTGGAATCGATACACCCGACTGGCCGTCACAGAGCTGCTTTTCGAACTGGCGAGCCCATGTCAGAAGCATTCGTCAACGGGTCTTTGTCCCAAAACAGAGGACGAGATACTCAGCGTGATTGGGTATCTGAGTTTGGCATTCGTCATCAAGGCCATCCTCACGATCATTACCTTTGGAATCAAGGTGCCTGCGGGCATCTACGTTCCATCAATGGTGGTCGGAGGTCTAATGGGTCGCATAGTCGGTCACTGGACCCAGTATATCGTTGTCAAATTTCCGAATTTCTTCTTGTGGTCGCATTGTCAGGACGCTGGCAACATTGAAGCGTGCGTCACACCTGGCGTGTATGCGTTGGTGGCAGCGGGGGCGACCATGTGCGGTGTCACACGTCTCTCTGTCACTTTGGCTGTCATTCTGTTTGAACTAACAGGAAGCCTCGATCATGTGCTCCCCTTCTCTTTGGGTGTGCTTTGTGCGAAATGGACGGCTGACGCTGTCGAGCCCCTCAGCATATATGATCTTTTGACCGACATGAATTCATATCCATTTCTAGACAACAGGAGCACTCCTGTCTTCGACTCGGAACTCGGAGACATCACACCCCGTTTCCGCAGGGACAAAGTAATTGACATCACGATATCCCCTCTTGTCAAGGCAAGTGATTTGCGAGCCAAACTCCGACGCTTGCAAAACCTTGGCGAACTCGACGGCGGGCTGCCTATCATCCGAGACAAGAAGTTGGTAGGGTTGATTCCGGCCCCAGACTTGGAGTTTGCTTTGGATAGGCTGGAGGACGAGGACAGTGCGTTCTGTTTGCTCTCGAACGATGACCATGCGCACAATACGCATCGTCGCTACTGGGAAGCATTTGAGGAGGCGGGGTATGATTCTGGACGGGACGATTCTGACGATCAAGACTCCCCAGCCACCAATCCGACTGATTTGACTCCATATATCGATCCTGCTCCGGTGGCCCTAGACATGCATTCGCCTATGGACCTTGTGTATCAATGTTTTGTCAAACTGGGGCTGAGGTACATTTGTGTGTTGAATGAGGGCGAATACAGGGGGATGGTGCATAAGAAGGCGTTTGTGAGGTACATCAAAACCTTGGAGCACAAAGGAGGTCGTCATTGAAAGGAACATCACAGTGAGTCAGGAAAATGCGGCAGGATATGAAGGACCTAGTCGCCCGAACGTATAGGAGGGTGTTTATTTCTTCAGCTTGTAGTTGCTTACTTCAACATTACCTCTGATGGCGTGCATTTTATGGAGATGTAGCGTCTGATACAACCTCTCACAGCGCAGATATCGACTTATACTTGCATGGCGGGGTTTATAGGAATCAGGGACTTGGGGTTGGCATTTCTGAGCAATTTTACCATAGCATGACAATGCCACCTGGCACAGCGAGGTGCTTAGTTGGGGCATAACAAGTACGTATTGTAACCGGGCGAGAATTATTCGTCTTGATTTTCTATCCTTGGTGATATTTTTGTATCTTTACGCTCTGAACGTGTCCGGCTGGGCGGAGAGGGAGGGTTTTCTCCTTCTCCCTCCTGCTCACTCTTTTGTGGTGTCTTGTAATTGTGTTGAGCAAGTACTTGTACCCAAGAGGCTGTCGGCCATCCGAACGAACTAGCCTCGTATAGGTCTAGCAGCATCCCAGTATCCACGAGTTACTAACCGATTCTGGTAATAGCCAAGTAACTCCGACCAATCACGCGTGCAGACACCGACGGTCTGCACCCAAGGCTGTGGTCATACAGGGGCACGAGGGTGTTACGAGGGGAAACTGCTCACACAATATTACCTCGTATGCGTGAGGAGTTGATTACTCGGTACTCGGACGAAGGTCCATCCATGGAAGAGACTCCTACAGGTCGAGGGATTTTGCTCTCTTCTTTTCTTCTCTCGATTTCTCACCTGTCGTCCGTCTACTCACCCACACTCCTTTCCTGTTAAGGTCAGCCTTGGTCCTTCTTTCACTGCGCTCCCTCTCCCTTTCTGACCAGTGTGGTTCGTTCTTTGTATTTGATTTCCTTGTTTCTCCTTGACTTCTTGTTTGCCGTCTCGCTCATTGTGGCTGTTGTAGCTGTTGTGTCAGACAGAAGGGGGAGAGAGGGGCCGGGTTGTCGCGGAACAGAGGACAGGTCCATTCCCTAGATTCCAGACAGATAGTCCGACTTCTCACTTGCTGAACCGATGGATGCTGGAAGGCAAACTCAGGTCTGATGGATACAACTTTGTCTTCCTTCTTCAGGTCCTCCGACCTTCTCATTCGCTTCCTCTGGGAGTCAAGATTCATAATGTAGTGGTTGCCAAACTTATGCTTTGCTTGTCTTTTACACCATCCACCCACTCCCCCAGTGTGCATGAGGTCTATGGACCCCGGTTTAATTTGCCTTGCGCTATGCTCGCCATTGTCTGAGGCGGTTCCGGGATTGGCTCTCCTCTCTTAGAAGAGTTCTTGTCTTTGTCTAGCCCCCGAACAAGCTCGATCGGAAGAATGGCTGCTCGAGGATATACTGGCTTGCCCGCCAGAAACTGCCAACGAGAAGGGTCTCCCGTGAGGGAGATGTGCCGCTGGACAAAATCTCTCTGCAAAGTTCCACGAGGCTCGTTCCTGTGCGGCTTCCGTGCCTGGTAGCGTACTGCACTCGTGGGATGCCGGAATCCCAGATGGAAAACCCAGACTGACTGCCTGTCTCGTAAAGCCATTTCTGATACTGGCCGTTGAGGTCCTCCCCACAATTGTTGACAGTATATATATCGGGCCTTTCTCCTCCGTATCCTTACTAAAGAGCCTCCCTTCTTTGAGCGTTCTGGTCCCCTTCCATTCGTTAAACACCCGCTCTCCGAGAAGCAATAGTCGCTCATTTACAGCCTGGGAACACCTCCTGTACCTTTCTTTGACGTCCACATTTCACCACGTCACAGTCCTCGAGACACCCGCATCGAATGGCAATGACTATCTCTGCGCAAACGAATGCAGCTGTTGCTGAGCAACCCAGCAGCTCAGCACAACAGGTCGAATGCGCCGATACAGTCAACGACACTTGTCAGGATACCAAAGGCCAACACCAAGAAGGCGAGACCGAAAAACAAGATTATGTCGGACCATGGCCCCTCAGACGTCGCAGTAACTCCAGCTGGACTGTCCTGATCGGTGAGAGTAGCGGCGCCAGAGATCCGATTTCGAAACCCGTGGGAAACTCTGCCGCGATTAAGAATATCAACAATCCCTTTATAGCAGGCTTCGCTCCTGAAAACCCCTTCTGCGACAAGTTTCAAACTGAGGGTTCAAGTTCCGTTGCTACGAAAGAAAGTGTCGCGGATTCCTGGCCGGGAGGCGGAGGGTCGGAATTCAGCCTGACTCTGGAACAAGTGGACCGACAAACCGAAGCCATCCAGTGCATCTTGCGTGAGGAAACAAGTTCTTCTTGGCACAACGAGGATGGGAGGCAACACAATGCAATCCAAAGGGATGGAGGAGGACAGCTTCCAGAGAGCTCGACTGATTCGGAAAGACAAGAACAGCACTCTTCCGCACAAGATTCCTGGATCACGACACGACAGCAAATATCAGGAAATATCGAGCGGGAAGCGGCCGCCACAACTCTCAGCCAGCTTGAAGCCGAGAGTTGTCAAGCTTGCAGAGAACAGGGCTCAGTCGCACGAGCAGGGAGGTGTATGCTTGGACTGACAGCGGCCATCCTGGGGGCGAGTCCATACTTGGTGTTCCATATCTTCGAGGAAGAGTTCATGCAGGCCAGCGCGATGATAAAAGAAAAACAGAGAACCTTCCTGTTTCTGTCACTCCTAGCCATCCCAGTAACTTCAGCTTTGAGCATGGTGTTCCTAGCCTGGCTGGGCCTGAATGTCTTGGGGCCGCACAGACGACGAATGAGTGGAGGAACCGAGTATTTCAAGCTCTGGCTGTGCTTTACCTTTTTCACTGTCTGTGGGTATTCCCTGCTTGCTGCTGTCATCTACAAGTATGCGATATGATAAGATGGGATCGAGTGGTGTTTGGGATACGGAGGGAGTGTTTCATCGGAGGGGGTTCGAGAATCGACATGGCGGTGAGGAATGTTGACAAATACCGTTTTCGGACATGGACGAACGCGTCCAGGGAAAGGGTGCAGCGTATCGCTGCCACTCCGCAAGCAGTGGTTTCTTGTAGACACAGCAATAGACAATACGAGATGAGGGAGAATCAAGTTCGCAGTGCCCATAATGGTAGAAGAACAACAGAAAGAGGGACGTTGGTTGGCGTCAACTGCGGTCGCTCAATCGCAGGCTTGGCACGATGGCCATCGTTGAGGCTGCGCAGTTGGAGACTCGCCGTCCACCTGCGTCTCCACCACCACCACCACCATCATCAACATTATTCCAGGACACCAACAGGTCTCGGCCTCTTCGCATACTCACCGGCTTGGGTGCAGAAGGTCCTCTTGCCTCTCCGCGCAAACGCATATCACGCGCAGACACTGCCAGCGCCGTCTCCCCTTTTACCTGCCAACCATTGTCATGTTCAGATAACTCCAATCACTCCCAGTCGAGGTCAACCTCGCTCGCTTTCAACTACGACGTCTTCAACGGCAGTCCGCGGAGGCAACCTCCCACCTCCATCATGAGGAGGGGCGGCAATACCCTACAAGAAGAGGAGGAGACACTCATGAGTGGGAGCCGGCGGTCCTCCAATGATCCTTATCCAAGACCTTCAGAAGAAAGCGTGTCCACTGTCTCGACAGCGTCGCTTGTTCTCGAAAGCTTAAACTCCGTCATTGCCGTAAAGGAGCCTCTTCGAGAGCCCTCAAACTACCGAGACGATGAGAGTGATCTCGAGCTGCCTCGATTCAATGACAAGAACTACACCATTGGCAGCCAACGCATGTCCAAAGGTCTTCGTCGAGCAGTCTGGATAGTCTCGATTGTTGGCATCATCGGATGGGTGCTGGCTGTGGTGTTCTTTATGGCAGGTGGTCGGTATAAGCATGCGTCCACTCTGGATTACGACCACGACACGCCCATAAAGAGTTCGGCAAAGAAAGTCACACTCGCAGAACTACAGTCAGGGCAATGGTTGCCCAAGTATGCCAATATTGAATGGACACCTGGACCCAATGGGGAGGATGGGTTGCTGTTGGAGATCAATCAGCCGAACCAGGATTACTTGGTGGTAGAAGACATCCGAAGTGGTACATCTTCCCAAGCAAACGCTTTTAAACGTACCACCTTGGTGAAAAGCGGCTGGATCAAATACGGCGGACAGCAGCTTTGGACGTCAGAATTCTGGGTGAGTCCAGACATGAAACATGTGCTTCTGATGGCGAGCCCGGAAAAGGTCTTTCGACATTCTTTTCTTGGACTGTATTTTATCCTCGATGTTGAGACACAGAATGTCCAGCCGTTAGATCCAGCATTGCCCGAGACCAAGATTCAGCTGGCACAGTGGTCGCCTAGAAGTGACTCGATTGTGTTTACGAGAGATAACAATCTCTACCTCAGACACCTCTCGTCGCCACAAGTGACGACGATCACGACCGACGGAGGTCCCGAGTACTTCTATGGCATTCCCGACTGGGCCTACGAGGAAGAAGTCTTCGCGACCAACACGGCCACTTGGTGGGCAAGGGACGGCCAGTATCTGGCTTTCCTGCGCACGAATGAGACAACTGTCCCTGAATACCCCGTTCAATTTTTCCTGTCCCGTCCCAGCGGGAAGAAACCCATTGAAGGGCTTGAGAATTACCCAGAGGTGAAAGAGATCAAGTACCCGAAGGCTGGAGCCCCGAACCCTGTTGTTGACATGCTGTTTTATGACATTTCCAAAGGCGAGGTGTTTTCTGTCGACATTGAGGGCGGTTTTCCCGACGAAGACCGTATCATTTTCAATATTGTATGGGCAGACGGTGGAAAAGCATTGGTCTCGGAGTCGAATCGAGAGAGCGATCGTGTCAGGGTTGTCTTGGTAGACGTCCCTACTCAAACAGGCCATACCGTGAGGGTCGTGGACCTCAAAGACGTCGATGGCGGCTGGATCGAACCTACCCAGCACACCAGATACATACCTGCTGACCCTTCCAAGGGGCGAGCGGAGGACGGCTATGTCGACATCGTCATCTCTGACAATGGTAACCACCTGGCTTATTTCTCTCCCCTCAACAGCTCAACTCCGGTCATGCTGACCAGAGGCGGTTGGGAGGTGGACGGTGGGCCGGCAGCCGTCGACCTGGAAAACAACTTGGTCTATTTTGTTGCGGCCAAAGAAGCGCCAACTCAACGCCACTTGTATAGCGTCAAATTGGATGGGACAGACATGAAGTCACTCGTGCCTACTGATGAAGCTGCATACTGGGAGTCAAGCTTCTCTTCCGGCGCAGGCTATGTGAGTCTGAAATACACTGGGCCTGGCATTCCTTATCAGAAAGTCATCTCTACGCCAACCAATCCCGACAAAATCGAGGAAATACTAGAAGACAATCACGATTTGGCCAAGATGGCCTCGTCCCACGCGCTTCCACATCAGGTGTTCCAGAACATCACCATTGATGGTTACACGCTGCAGGTGGTCGAACGGCGGCCTCCTCACTTTGACCCCAAGAAGAAATATCCGGTCCTCTTCTACCTCTACGGCGGACCCGGCTCACAAATGGTCAATCGCCGCTTCCACGTCGACTTTCAATCGTATATCGCCGGCTCACTTGACTACATCGTGGTTACCGTTGATGGACGCGGGACTGGCTTTATAGGCCGCAAAGCCCGCGCTATCGTCCGCAATGAACTCGGTACCTATGAAGCCCACGATCAGATAGCCGCTGCAAAGGCGTGGGCCGGCAAGCCGTACGTGGACGCTGACCGCATGGCTATTTGGGGCTGGTCGTACGGTGGCTTCATGACATTGAAAGTCCTGGAAACAGATGCGGGCGAAACTTTCAAATACGGCATGGCGGTCGCGCCTGTGACGGACTGGCGGTTCTATGACTCCATCTACACCGAACGATATATGCGCACCCCTCAGAATAACCCTCTCGGCTACTCCAAATCAGCCGTCAGCAACGTCACGGCGATATCGCAGAACGTGCGGTTCTTGATCATGCACGGCGTTGCGGATGACAACGTTCACATGCAGAACACTTTGACTCTACTAGACAAATTCGATCTGGCAGGCGTTGAGAACTACGACGTGCACTTCTTCCCCGATAGCGATCACTCGATACAATTTCACAATGCGAATCACATCGTGTACGATAAGTTAGCGAACTGGCTGGTTAATGCGTTCAATGGGGAGTGGTATAGGACCGAGGATCCCAAGCCAGTTGACTTGGGAGCTTAGTGCCAGGAAAAGTCCGGTAGGAAGGATGCGCAAAGTGTTGGTCCCTCCTTTCCCCTCTGTTTTGACATGCTTAGCATTTGCTATGTCCTCTCGCACAGGACGTGTGTCTGGTCTCGGAGTATTACATTGTCTGTGTAATCGTTCGGTGGACGGGGAACCTGTGTTTGGCTTGAGGATGAGCATGATACCTATATATCAATGTCTATACTAGCCTGTGTGATGCCATGTTTGGAAGGACCACCTTCAATGAGGAATAACATGACCACTTCACTCAGTCGAGGCAGCGGACAGTCCACCCTCCCACCCTTGTCGCGTGTATCACATTGTGAGTGGGAGTCATCAGGATGAATATCCTAGCGGGCAGTCACATTAACTTTGTGGTCACAGGCTGACTACTTCACGTCCTGAGGCACAGATTAGGCAGATCACTTTGTAGCGTGCAGTACTGGCGGTAACAGAATGTTGGCACAGTAGCCAAGGTCATTGTGGTGTTTCCCAGATTAAGCAGTGCACCTGAACGTGAACTGAAATTCAGTGAATCACTTCCTTCCAGCTGTGCGGGGAAAAACATACTTGCATTGTCCTTCGACTTCTTGTGAATATGGCTTCACGACTGCACTTTGTTAAAAGAGACAGTTTGTGGAACCAATCAGGAAGAGGGAGAATGAATAGGCTTAGACTGCCGCGAATGAACTTAAGCTTAACTGAACAAGTGACGGCTTTGAGCCTCGGATATCGTCGCCAGCAGCGCCACAACTGACGCTATATCTTGGCACTTACAGCGCTTATCCGGTTTCGAAATAGCGTCCTTTATGTGTCTACGGGTATTTAACCTCGCGACCTTTTCTTCTAACTGGCGCTCTCTCTGTCTATATCTTCTATTCTTCTCCTCTTCCCAGCAATAAGCAGCACAATGTTTGGACAATCTGATCACGTAGAACACTCTCAACCTTACACCACAGACGCGATGTGGGGACGTCCATACGAGCCCCTTGAATACTTCGTGCACCCAGGTCCAGTCGGGGCGGGGATCTGGGTAAAGCCACGTGAAGTCAAGGACGAGCACAATGGAGTGAATTCCCCAGGCAGTGGTACCGTCACTCCATCTGATCCTCTTTGTGAAGTGCCCGACTAACTTTTGGGTAGGCTCTTTGGCTCCGAGTACCAGTGGTGACCTCTTCCTGCGGAAGCCAATCTTTGATACTCAGTTTCCACGAAGCTCTTTGTCTTGTCCCCCTGCTTTGAAAGAGTATCAAACACCTCATATCAACTCGGATTCCAGAGCCGATAAAGAGATCTCAGCCACGAAACTTCAGACTTCGTTCTGTCCTCTCCCTCCCATCGAAATTATGGATTTTGGAGGCCCGATGTACGATAAGGCGTCTCGGAACTGGCCGACTACATATTTGGTTTCCAACGATGGATCGGTCGATGAAGCCATCCACCCAGCCACATTCCATACACCTGGAGATCGCGATAGTGAAGCGTCGCGCAAGGTATGAAATTTCCCAACAGCTCAGTGTCTCTACTAACTGGCCCAGGCTTTCAGTGCAATTCAGGCCGTCACCCTAGCAGCTGGCAAGATCCATGTCACCATCTGTCGTTGCCAACACCCAGGTCGCAACCCTCCTCCTTCCTCTCTCAACGGGATTCTGCTCTCTCACGACAGTGTTTACCACCAAATTGTGGAAGTTTCGGGCTTCTGGCTGGAAGGTTTCAAATTCGTGACAGCAGCACACTTCCTCTCGTGCAATCATCCGTTGAGTGCGGAAGAGAAAAAAGATACGGTGGACTTTCTCAAGTACCTTTCGCCGCTATCATCGACACCGTCCACCAGTGCCATGAGAGCTCGTGTTTCGTGTGAACTTAGCTCTCGCTACCACGGCCACTATGAGCAAGGGGCGAACCAGCTCCGTGTTCCACAAATCTTTGATGTTCAGCTAACAGCCCTTAACGAGGCTGCCGACGTGGCTATCTTCAAACTAGCGGCGCATGAAACAAGACGACCCCAGACATGGATCAAGAACAGCCAGCTCAGCTCAGCAGGCGCCAATTTCCCAAACACGGTCGCTAGCAAGATCTTCTCTACGTACTACCCAGGCGCTGACAATCTGTTGTCTACTGATACGAAAGCTAAGGAACATTGCAGCACTCAGTTCGAGCTGTTGGTCAAGTCACGGCTGCAGCTGGGCTTGCTGATTGGTGATGCCTCCGACAAAGTTTCACCACCACGATTCAACGACATCTTCCACGCCAATGTTCGATCTATTGGGTTTGGGGACCTCGCAAACGCTAGTCCAGAAGGTGATCCGGGTCATGGCACTGTTGTGCGTACTCACACCATTCCGGGATTCTCAGGATGTTCTGGCGGGATGATTGGGTGTTTGGAGACTATCCATTGTCCGATTTTCGAAGGTTCGGTAGTCTCAAATTTATCAGTGAGAATCATCGGCATTTTCAAAGGCGAAGAATTTTTCCAGAACACTTTCAGCGCATTCACCCAGTGTGGCGTCGATAGCATAATCAATTGCTAAGTTGGACGATATCTGTCAATTTGGTTGAGAAAACACTCTGCGATTGTTTTCCTCCTCCAAAAAGAAATGAAGAAAAGAGACTTCGAAAAGACAGTTCGAATCAGGGTTGCAGGGTCGACATGGAGTCAGAGTCACTCTAGGAGAAACAATCGATGAGGAATCGGTTCGGTCTGGGGACTCAGCACCTAGTCAAGACGAGAAAACGGGCAAACCGGAAACATTGGAACCCCCCCAAAAAAAGAAAAGGCAAAGAAGAGAAGAGAAGAAAAAAGAATTCTGAAAAAGAAAGAATAAGGAAAAAAACAACATACGAAACAAAGAAGAAACTGTAAGGCAGATGAACACCCAAGACAAGGGCAAGGCAAGACAAAGGCTGGGGCAAAAGCTGTCTTGGATACGTAATGAAAGGGTCGGAAGAGGCAAACCAGCGGAGGGACACGGGGTTGGATTGAGATTGGACGTTGTTTGCACGTACGCAGGTCAACTTTCCAGAGGGCTTCTGAGTTGTTACGTACCAGAGGTTCCACCGCGGCGGCGGCGATGGCGAGGGACGGATCCAGGCCAGAAGTTGTACCGGGGTGTTCTGTTGTTGACCGGCCAGTGCCATGATTTAGAGTAGTAATAATGCTAATGAAACCTGCCAACCTGCCAACCTGCCAGTCTTGCCTGCGCAACCCCGTCTTTTCTTTTCGGTTCGGTTCGGATCCCTGCGTGAGCCTTGACTGCGGGTGTTGGCGTTTCAAGGCAAGTCAAGTCTTTGGATCATTCTCTCCTCCCACCATATGTGTGCTGTCTCTTATACAGCTCTGACCCCGCAGAAGATCTCACCTTGTGAGATCTCGGTGGTCCACGGATCCATAAAAAAAACAAAACAATAAAACAGACGACAAAATCAAAACCAAATACACTACACA